ATATGATTTGTTTCTCCAGTTTAAATATGGCTGTGATATCTGGACTTCCAAGTTGGCAGAAAAGTCTTTTGTGCCATCTAAATGTCAACTGTATCTTTGTAGCTCAAATACTAGCCTAGTTTAAGGATATAGCCAAGGATCAAGGGGGGGGGGGGAACCCAGGCTGGAAACTCCAAATTTCATGTTCAGATCTATAATAAGATTAAAGTAAGATATATAAATATATATGATTCAGTGGTACATGACAAACTACTGTTAAAACTAAACTCTTACAGCATTTCTGGATCCCTTCATAAGTGGATTATTGCATTCCTGTCAAACAGGCAACAAATAGTAAAAATAGGGAGCGCTATATCAAACCCTGCTCCAGTTAACAGCGGTGTCCCCCAAGGCAGCGTTCTAGGACCCACACTCTTTATACTTTATATAAATGACCTTTGCGATCACCTTATAAGCAACTGCATCTTCACGGATGACGTAAAACTATTCAACAGCACCGACAATGCTACCGTCCTTCAAAGCGACCTTGATTATGTGTCTGAATGTCAAACAGTTGGCAACTCCAAATCTTGACCAACAAATGCTCTGTCCTACACATTGTTAAAAAAAAATCAGTACACCAAATACAAACTAGGTGGATATGACCTCGTTGATGACCCTCACTCTGTCAAGGACCTGGGAGTACTCATATCTAATGATCTAAGCGCTACAGCTCACTGTAACAGCATTGCCAAAAAGGCATTAAGAGTTGTAAATCTAATCTTACGAAGCTTCTCCTCTGGAAATATTGAATTGCTAACTGGGGCATACAAATTCTTTTGCTAGACCAATACTCGAATACAGCTCATCTGTCTGGAATCCTCACTGTATATCAAACATTAATACAAATGAGCGAGTCCAGAAGTATTTCACGAGAACAGTATTATATTTCTGCTCACAACAGAATACCCTATATCACCAGGCTTGAAATTTTGGGCTTGGACAATCTTGAACTATGCCACCTACGGTTGGACTTAAGCGTAATACACAAAATTATCTGCTACAATGTCCTACCAGTCAATGACTACTTCAGCTTCAACCGCAACAATACAAGAGTACCCAACAGGTACAAACTCAATGTTAACTGCTCCAAACTTGATTGCAGAAAGTACGACTTCAGCAAGAGTGGTCAATGCCTGGAATGCGCTAGCTGACTCTGTTGTTATATCCTCAAACTCCCACTCCTTTAATTTCAAACTATCCACTATTGACCTCACCCCATTCCTAAGAGGTCTGTAAGGGGTGTGTATAAGTGCACAATCGTGCCTACAGTCCCTGTCCTGTTGTCCCCATTTATTCGTACCTATTTCCTGTATTCTTACTCATGTTTATACTTATACCTACTATCTTGTAAGCGATTGACAAATCAAATAATAAAACAAAATAAAATAAATATAGCCACATCTGCCTAGCATGCTCCTGGATGTTTTAACTTGCAGGCTTCACTGGTTTCTCTCCTCAGGAAAACTGTAGGTCTACCATTCTCCAATACTAACTGCCTCTTCTCATCCACACTTCTTTCAGTATCACAGAAACAAAAATGCAGTGGCCATGTATTTGTGTAAGAAAGAAGTCTGGCTTTTTTTCAAGCCAGGGTATTTATTCATGCATCCCAGTAGTTTAGCTTTTAGTTGGCAACAATTCTGCATGGACTCGGGCACAAATCTTGCCTATTAACTAATGCTTTAACTAGATCCAGGAGGATGAATCAGAACCTCAGCATTTAAAGAAGGTAGTCCATCCCTGAGGACATTCCCATTCTCCCTCAGTCCAAGTTTTCTTCTGTTTGGTGGCATTGTAGTGCCTGGGATTGCCTGTCACTTACCTGTGGGTCACTGTGTTGCCTTGTCCTTGATAACAAGTTCTTAGCAGCTTTCCATTGCTGGCATTAAACATGTGGTTTTGCAAGAAGGAAGCTGCACATACAGCTCGATCAATGTATTCTTTCTTGCCTAAGATGGCTCCACACTGAGCAAAGCCAGAGATCATCAGTCCTAGAAGGCAAATTAGTGGGAGAGTGCTCATTTGAATTCATACACTCAGAATATACAACCTATATTTCTTTTGACCCAAGTCTCCTCATAGATTTATCAGTTTAAGTCACTTCTTCCTTAAAATGGCTCTTTTCACATATGCTGAAGACAGGTAAAAGCAGATTATCATTTCTCAAATGCTTCCCTTGTCACATGATCAGAGCATTATTTTATATGCTTTCTTTTGCTCTTAATCAGTGATTCAGGGGGAAAAAAGAAGTGGACAGTATCTTCATCACTCATGACCCAATGATTCACTTGTAGAAGTTAGGGCTTGGTAAAATAATTGCCTGCAAAGATCACCAATCAGTAGGTCTCCATGGCTCTGAAAGGTCTTTCTGGCACTATTTTAAAAAATGAACTTAGAAACTTAAATGGAAGATTTCTGAAAGCTTACCTGAGAATTCTGGAACCATTTGGGCAGCATACACATTGCCAGGAGAGAAAGCAAGTGAGCTTGTCTATTATTTTTTTCATTATACAGTATGTTCAAGTATCTTCATTTCATAAAGGAGACAAGTGCTCCCTCTATATTTATAGAATGTGAAAAACTACAATAACATAAGCACCTTCATGGATTAACGAAGATTTCTTTCTTTCTTTTCTTTTCTTTCTTTCTTTCTTTCTTTTCTTTTTTTTTTTTTTTTTTTTTTGTGGCTGTAGGGAAAAGATGCTACTGCCCCCTGCTGCCAAAACAGTTTCAATAAACAGTGCTCCAGAGTACTTTTGGCCAGAAGAAAAAAGAGCAAAAGATTAAAAACCAGGAGAAAAGAAAAAAAGAAGTAGCTGGTTTTAATAAGCTTACAAACTATTTTTCTAACACCAGAGAAGCAGGCTTATCAGGTGTGGTTAAGTCTGCTCACCAAATTATTTCCCTTGAATGGCCGCACAGTGGAAGAATTTACTGCAACGAATATACTGCTCTCCCCTCACAGAAGTCTTCCAGGTGTCAGTGCAGTTTGGTAAGGGTGTTACTGAGCTCCATGCAAAAGAACAAACCTCACCATTCCAGGATGCCAGCATCTTGCTGTCCAGATGGGGCCGTGGCCTCTGAGTTCGTGCCTTATATAGTTTCTCCCTACTTTTAACCAGCAATGTCTTCAGTTCTTCTAGCCCCAGTCCAAATCGGGCAGCTGTAAGTTCCAGGGAATATTGCATTATCAGAACATTTTTTCTTTTTAATTCATTGTGAGGATCCTGAAATAGAAGATCAGTGTAAGAAAATAAAGGAAGTCTCCTTTAAGCCCTCACATGGTAGAATGCTATATGATGTGACACATCAATGGAATAGACTCAGATGGGAAATTTTACTGATTTCATCCAATATTATTCTTTTATGAGTGTGTGTTTGATTTTTTTTTAATATGTGCATTATTTAACTGAACATTTCTCCTGTTGAGGGAGATGCTTAAAACATTTCTTAAATATTGCAAAGGTTTTTGCCATTTGAAAAAATTTGAATACCTTTGACTGCTTCATCTATCACAACTCTGTCATGACCTTATCAAAAGAAAACAGTCTTTCCTGGACTTCCTAAGTAGTTATTCTCTTCTGTCAAAAGACTAAATTACCTACAAAGCCTTTCCACTACTTTGAGAGCATCAAATAGTGAAATTTGTTTTCAAGTCCAACTTCAACTTTTTAATCAATCAGTATTGCCTTATTTTACATAGCAACCGCTGTCTGAATCTTTTTAGAAAAAGAACCCCTTGAATATCTTGCAGCACCAGTGCTTTCCCCTACCATTTTCTTCCTCCCTAGAATGATCAAGTGAGGACGCAACATTGTCTGATCATTATCTCTGTGGGATCATCTAGATATGTCAGTTTCCCTTGATAAGTTGCTCCCAGAGCAAAACAAAACAAAATGAATAGCCTCAATGAATTAGCTAAACACGAGGTAGCTCAATACAATCAGGACAAAACAAATAAAGCTATCAAATGCATGTCCTAGAAATGAGAAATTTTAATTAGAACCAGCAACTTTTTCCTGCTGATTTCCCTAAGCCTGTCTTAGCTAACATTTCACTGATCTCAAGGTTTTATTTCAAAGCTATATTTCAAGGCAAGCCTTAATAATGAACAACTCATGGATATAGGTAGTCCTTGTTTAGTGATTACCTCATTTAGTAACCATTCGCAGTTACAACAGTGATGGAAAAGTAACATTATGACCAATTTTTGCATTTACAGTCTTTGCAGGTCTGTAAAGCAAAGGGAAGCTAACATCATAAGCACAATCATAGTTTTTCTTGGCAATCATTTCACTTCAAGACTGAGTTGACAGTCTCAACCGTGGTTACTAAACAAGGGCTATCTGTACTTAGTATATAAGAGAATTAAAAATGGGGCAAGACAACTGGGTATTTATTCCAATAATGAAAGCTTCTAGTATCCTATCAGCTTTGAGAAGAACTAGTGATCCTGAATTCTGAGATCTTAGAAAGCGCATAAGAACTGAGAATTCTGTGCCTAGCAAGACACAGGAGCCTGTTGACTAACACAGAGTTCCCCAACCTTTCCTGCTTTACGTTCCCGGGAGGGAACGGAGGGGGAGAGAAGAGACAGTTCCGTGCGAGCGGTGGGCTAGTGCATACATTTGCACAGGTCCATTTGCGCAAACTGCAGGCATGCACACCCATTGCTCATGCAGATGGAACTCATGCGCACATACTCACCTGCTGCTTGTGCAAGTGCTCAACCAACACTTCTGCGACCTGGTTCCGAAGGGCTCAAGGCCAGTAGTGGGCCATGGCCCAGTGGTTGGGGACCCCTGGGCTAGCACCTGTGTTGTCACTAATAAGGGACTCAACTTTCCCAAGCTCCCTTAGCCACCCCTTCCCAATTGTACCTTCATTGGGTTCACATTGCCATCTTCCTTCATTCCATAGTGATGCATGAAAACATCTGCCACAATTTTTTTCTCTGGGATCCCTTCAATGGGGTCTGGCAGGAGCTGCCGAATCTCTTCAGCTGTCCATACGCAAAATGCACCCTCTTGCTTTTTCTCTGATTGGACTGTAGCGTATGAATCAGCATCCTCTGCACTGTAGAAACCCCCTGACTGAAAACCAAAGAATTAACAGTATCATAGACTTTAATGTACAGCCCAATTTTTAAAACGTATATGCAAAGTCGTAAGATCTGCCTAAAAAATGAGACTGATTGACAGTTCTCCTTTTTTATTCCTGAGCTTGCCTAATATACCCATTCTTCATTGAGTAATCATGTTCCATTCCAATACCCAGTCTTTAAGTGAAATGTCTGCTAAGTGAGCATGTGACTGACTGAGAGACAGAGTGATGGCGGCATCTCATTTAGATAAAGTTCTTTCCTACAGTTATGCCACTATTACTCCCACTCAGCGTGAATTGTTCTCAGGCATAAGAAATTTAGTTTTAAGCATGTGCATTGGTCAGAAAAAAAAAATTTATATTACTATTGTATTTGCAAATAATCGCTAAGCAAGGTAGTAACTAAATGATGAGTGGGCGATGTCTGCAATAAGCCCAGATGTTAGCCTATTCTTCAGCAGTAAAAATAAAGAGTGTTGCCTGAGGGGGAGGGGAAATAGACATTTTCCTTAAAAACTGGGAACTTTCTACAGTATTTGTACTTATAACCATGTATAACTATGAGGAACAAAATTTAGATACATTTTTTTCACATTTCTGATCTTAAAACTAACACATTCCTAAATAAAGAATCTCTGCTTTAAACCATCAATCTCTACCATACTTTAAAAATTTTGAATTGTCTGTTCTAGAGCATGCCTGCGGAACTGGTGATCCTTAGCTAGGTGATTATGGCACACTTGCCTTGGTCCTGGCAACCCATTTTAGCCAATCAGAAAAACAAGGAAAATAGCTAACAATTGTGTGAACTGCCAGGTGTTTAGTTTGGTGAACTGCAAATTGGCTAAGACCGACAATTTCTGAACCTCCATACATTAATAAACTATAGCTCCCAGAAAACCAGCCAAACATAGTCCACTTCTAGCTGCATTTATTCCAAGTTTGCTGGCAACTCAGCAGCTTATCATCATCTAGTAGCAGTAAATCTTACATTGTCACTCAGATCCCGAGAAACATAAAGAAGAATGTCTGCTGCCGTGTCTGCAAAGAATTCATCACCAGAAATCTGCATAAAATACAAGAAAACATTATTCCAGGAAAATGAAATTGAAAGGAAAACATTATGTAATAATTGTATTCTTGGAATAAACAATATAAAAAGCCAAATTCGGAATAAGTTTTATATAAAACCATGAAATCACGGGTTGTCTAATATCCAGGCCAGAATATTGAAAAGAAATCATTTACATGTTGCAGTGTTACATAATTCAATCATATCCTGAGATGATTTTACTATTCTTATTTCACACCTAAGAAATATCTATAGTCCTACAGCTGTAATATGTCACATTTAATCTTTTAAAACCATTTAAACCTATACGTGATATGGAATTTGGCCAATAAGCATATTTAGAATGTTGAGAAACTGCTGTAGGATTAATATCAAAGAAGACAGGGCTTGCCCATTCCTAAAACAGCTATTAAGGTGGAAAACAACCAGACTCAATATACCCATCTACTAGAAGACAAAGTGATTATCCCTACTCCCTACTTTATTCCTTTATTTTGCTGTCTTATAATTATAATCATTATTATTTTTGTTTCCTGGACAGGTGGCAAATTTCCAATAAAGTAATAGGCTGGAATCACCAATACCCATTTTTGTTTTCTAACAAGACAGCCCATATAGAGCAAAACAAGTAATCTTGCAAATAAAGATATTATTAAAAGCCAATGCCTTTGTAGCTTGCCTGCTTCCTTAAAATTAAATACATAAAAGGTTATATTAAAAAATTATGTCAGCTTGGGGCAAAACCAAGTAGAAACCATGCTAGGAATCCTAAGTATACAGACAAGCATGGAATCATTTGCCCAGGTTCTATGAATATAATCTCAAATCCATAAGAATATACAAATATTACTATATAAATAAACTTAGAAAAGCCTCCTGATTAAATCCAGTTCTGAGATTCGGCCTATTGTAGATTCTTGTGAATTACACAGTTGGAAATCTTTTTTGAACTCCACCTGCAGAACTTGATAAAAGACCAATTAAAATCAGAGCAGGAGAAAGACAAATGGATTATCCATAAGCTCTCTTCTTTACTCATGGTCATTTCAGCTATAATTCTTCACCCAAAATGCTAACGAAAGTGTCATATGTACAGTCAATTGTCAAATGGATATCCAACTTATTTGTCTCAAAAGAGCCATCACACAACTTACAATTAAAATTCATCAAAAGAACAGCATTACATCAATAGGTATGTATTTATTTATTTATTGCAGGAGTTACCCTGTGATAAGATGGAAGGCCAATACATTTTACAAATAAATAAATACAATTAATTAAATGATCGCTATTTTCCATATCAATAATATGGAAAACAGACATGTTGATAAAGAACTCCAAATAACTACAAGCTTCTCTACTTGCATTCTTTACCACAGCAATCTGTTCCCATGTTTATCTGATCACCTGACAGTGTGGAAAAATTAGCAGGATGCTTAGGCCTCTGCAGATTGTGGAGAGTGGGCCTGAAAACTATATACTCCATAGTTTTTTTTCGTTTTTTTATTTTTTTTATTTTTATTTTATTTGTCAATTGCTTACAAGATAATAGGTATAAGTAAAAACATAGTTATGAATACATAGATACATATAAGAAAAATAAAAAATATATAAAAGAAACAATAGGACAGGGACGGCAGGCACATTGGTGCGCTTATGCACGCCCCCTACAGACCTCTTAGGAAAGGGGTGAGGTCAATAGTATACAGTCTAAGGTTAAAGTTTTTGGGGTTTGAAGAAAAAAACCACAGAGTCAGGTAGAGTATTCCAGACATTAACCACTCTGTTGCTGAAGTCATATTTCCTGCAATCAAGTTTGGTGTGGTATCTATTGTTTGCTCTTGTGTTGTTATGGTTGAAGCTGAAGTATTCATTGACAGGTAGGACATTGCAATGTATGATTTTATATACTATACTTAGATCGAATCCGAAGGCAGCGTAGTTCTAGGTTTTCTAGGATTAGAATTTGGAGTCTGGTGGCATAGGGTATTCTGCAACGAGTAGCAGTGGAGAATTCTTCTTGTGAAATATTTCTGGACTTTCTCAACTGTGTTAATATCAGATACGTAATGTGGGTTCCAGACTGATGAGCTGTTTTCGAGTATTGGTCTAGCAAATATTTTGTATGCTCTAGTTATTAGTGTAATATTACCAGAGAAAAAGCTACGTAGGATTAGGTTAACAACTCTTAACACCTTTTTGGCTATGTAGTTACAGTAGGCTCTAGCACTTAGATCATTAGAGATGAGTACTCCAAGATCCTTGACAGAGTTTGGATCATCAACAAGGTCTTGACTATTCAGCCTGTATTTTATTTTCTGATTTTTTTTTTCCAATATGTAGGACACAGCATTTATTTGTTGGGATTTGAAGTTGCCATTTGTTTGACCATTCTGATACATAGTCAAGGTCTTTTTGAAGGGTAGCAGTATTGTCTGTGGTGTTGAACAGCTTTACATCATCAGCAAAGACAACACAGTTGCTCTTGATATGATCACAGAGGTCATTTATGTAGAGTATGAAAAGAGTTGGTCCTTGGGGGACACCATTGTTGACAGGTACAGAATTTGATAGGATGCTCCCAATTTTGAGCATTTGTTGTCTGTTGGACAGGAATGCTTCTATCCAATTATGCAGGTGTCCAGAGATACCGTAAGATTTTAGTTTTAGGAGTAGTTTGTCATGTACCACTGAATCAAAGGCTTTACGGAAGTCTATATAGATTGCGTCGATTGCTTTGCCCTGATCGAGTTGTATAGTCCATATGTTTTTGCAGTGTAAGAGTTGCAGATTACATGATAGTTTTTTCCTAAAGCCAAATTGTTTATTAGAGAGTAGGTTCTTTGTTTCTAAGTGGAGGATGATGGTTAATAATTGATTCCATGACTTTACAGGTGACGCAGCACAAAGAGATTGGTCTGTAATTTTCAACTAGGCTGGGGTCTCCCTTTTTGAAGATGGGGATGACCGTGGCTTGTGACCATAGTTTTGGCAAGGAGCTGGTCCTGAAAGATTTTTCAAAGATTATGCTTAGAGGTTCGGCTATGGCAGTGGGTAGCTTTTTTAAGAAGTAGGCACATACTCCATCCGGTCCAATAGATAGAGATGGTTTTAGATTGCGTAGTGCTTTTTCAACATTGTCTTCTGTAAAATCGATATGTATTAGATCATTGTAGTTGTCTGTGGTTCGACTAGGAAATACTGGGCATGATCCATTGCTATTTACAAATACTGAGCCAAAGAATGTGTTAAAGAGGTTAGCTTTAATAGCGTCGTCGTTGCAGTCTTTACCATTAGGTCCTTTCAGGGGTGGGATGGACCTTGAGTCTTTTAGTTTGTTGTTTACAAAATTGTAGAAAGCGTGGGTGGAATTGATGCGTAGAAGGTTTTCTTCTTGTTTAATGTGATAATTGGTGCATTCAGTTTTTATCTAGTGGCATAAATTTTTGTATCGGCTTTTGAAGTTGGCAACGTGACCAGATTTGTTTTTCCGCCAAAGTGATTTCTTTTTGGATTGAAGCTTCCTTATTGTTTTGGGTAATTTGTTTTTTCTGGTTTTGGGAGTTGTTAATGGTACATATAGTTTGATGACTCTTTTGACTTCAAGTAAAAATATGCTGTAATGGTCTTCTACAGTATTGCATCCAGAGAATAGAAACTGCCAGTCAAGGGATGAGAGATCGTTGTTTATAACATCATAGTTGCCTTTTTTGAAGTTATAATTGGGGATTCCGTCGTTGTGATGATTTTTGTGTGGACGTATGTTGAGACAAAAGTCAATCATATTGTGGTCACTGTTGGAAAAGGGTTCTTTAATTTGTATTCCGTAAATTGAATTCAAACTCTTGCAGAAGATTAGATCGAGGCAGTTGTTAAGTCTAGTGTTGTTGGTTACTAGTTGTTCTAGTCCCAGATTTGTTACTGCATTGTAGAAGGTTGCATGCGTGGGTTCAATTGTACATTCGTTAAGGGTCCAGTTAATATGAGGTAGATTGAAGTCACCAAGAAAGATGAAAGAGTGTGGGCAGGATGCTGCCCATGTTAGTAGTGTATTTAGCTTGTTTGCATGTTCGATGTCATAATCAGGGGCTCTGTAACATAGTAAGAACTGAAATGTGATATTTAAGGACAGTTCATAGACGATGGCCTCAGGAATAGCAAACTCCTGGGTAACTTGGATGTTTTTTAGATGTAGGGACTTTTTATAGAAGATAGCAACACCACCTCCTCTACGGATTTCACGATCTGATTGGTAAACATGATAGTCTCTTACTGTGGTAATGGAGTCAGGGAGAGATGTGTTGAGCCATGTTTCACAGACAAATATAATGTCGAATTTAGCTGCATTTAGTAGTAGAAGAAATTCAGGTATTTTATTTACAAGGCTTCTTGGACTGAGTAGCTTGCATTTAAGGCCAGTTGTGGTTGGAATAGAGGTAGTTAGGGGCATGCATGTCTAGTTTTGAGTGATGTTGGATAGGATGGGGTGGGGTTGGATGCAGAGTTGTGGGTTGTGTGACTTTCTTTTGATGCAATCAGCTCTGTAGTCAATGTATAGGTCCTTTTCTCCATTGTCTAGACGGTTTTTGAGTTCTGTGCGGAGTTGACGGGAGCGGATTCTTTGCAATATGGATAAGTCTGGTCTTGAGCAAAGTTTTTTATTGGTTTTTGCAATGGCATTTATTGTATGAATGAATATGCATTTGCTGGACTCATTTTTGCATACAACTCTACAAAATCTTGGGGGCACAGAACCGTCATTGTATTTGTACCCATGGCCATCTCTGGTTATTTCAATGATATCTTCAGGAGATATGTTTGTTGTATTTGAGTTGCTTATGATATCACGAACTTTGGTGATGTCATCTGATTCGTTGGTGTCTTCGAGACCAAATAAGATGGCATTTAGACGTTTCTGTTCACATTCCATGGTGTCTCCATGTTTTCCATAGTACCAGAGTATAAATGTATTAAAATATTAGTATTTCTTAGCCCATAATGAAACACAGTTGTAAACTGACATCAACTTAAACAAGAGTTATGTCTCAATTTGTTTCCTCACAAAACCTGTGTGAATAACAAAAATACAGCTGTTCAGAAGAATTTAATGGAATATGTTTGGTACACCTTTCATGGGAGATTATTTTGCAAAAAAAAAAAATATTGCTACAGGAAAAGGCCTTGTGTTCTATATAAACAAACAGTAATTGGTTGCAGACCCAACTTTGAGATATACGATGTAAACCACAAAAAACAGAACATTTGTGAAATGATGTTACTATTTTCATTTAAAATAAGGAATAGTCAGCTTTCAAAACTATCGCTCTTGTAATTTTAAGCAGCATGAAGTAAAAACAAACAAGCAAAAATCCCCTTTAGTACATATTGTAATATCATAGTGATACATGGACTTGAAACCTGATGACTCCAATTTATTTTTTACAAAATCTAAAATGCAAGTCCTATCATATATTTGATATATCCTCTAGTACAACTCTAATATTATCTATTTTAAAGCATTTTAGGATTTCTACAGGATCTAACAACTCAAGTGCATTTTTATTTGTAGATATTTGCATTGCTTCAAGAGAAGGAATGGCATTATAAATAGTAGAATTAACATAGAATGTTTTTGCAAAGTAAACAATAGTTATGAAGGACAAATATAATCTGGAAAAAGACTAGATTCTTTCCAGATTCTGTTTGTCCTTCATAACTATTGGGATATCATATAACAAAGGGATATCATATAATTATGTGGATTCTCTTATAAAAAGTTAAAAACTAAAAAGGTATTCTGCCATGTTGCTAACATAAAGTGAAGAATGAAAGATCTATATACTACTAAAACTGATTTCTATAAACCTTTAACGGGGCAAAATAATGCACCATAGAACAAAACCTTTTGAACCAAGGTACCTCAAATGAGCTAACTTATGAAATATGTACAAAATTCAGTATTTATTATTACCACAAAGCAGTTTATGACCTAATTCAAAACATCATAAAACATTTATTGTGCTCATGTTTGTGCTATGCAGTTCAGCATGGGTTAAGTTGTTTATGTCATAATATAAAATATCATGAAACATTTCCTGTGCTAATGTTTGTGTTATACAGTTCAACATGATTATTTTCAAGGCAGATACAAATTTAAAAGTATCCCAACTTTTCCAGTTAGAGAAAAAAGTACATTAGAAGCTCTATCATCATTCAAGGCTTTGAAGAAACTGGTGAGGAAATATCTCTGAAAAAAATGACCCAATGGGACATGGGTTGTCTTGTATCATTTAATTCTGATTTAATTTCTCTTTGGATGAAAAAAAAATCCTCTCCATCACTGTTTTGCCTTTAATTATGAAGTCCATCATATAGTGGATGGACATATTTATGATACTTGGAAATCACATGTAAAAAATACTATTGGACATGCCAGGCACTGTAAGTGCTAACATCTCAAAATTTCATAAGAGGTAATTGTGGCTGGAGTACTAAGCAAATTTAATCCCAGAACATGTTTGCCATAGAGAAAGTGCAATATTCTTCACATCAGTAAACTGCTTCTTGTTTTTTTTTCCTCCTCTCAACAATGATAAGTAAATACTGGCTATTCTGAAAAATTCCAAGTGATATGTGTAAATGTTGCTTTTGGGTTCCATATCACAGTTGGGGTGCCAAAATTATTGCTAAATAATGTCAGTAAGAAACAATGGTGGTATAGGGAAGCTGAATCAACAATACAGCATTCCCCTTAGTTGCCACTGATGTCATAAAAGGAACAAAGGAAAGAAGAAACCTTTCTTCTCTGTTCTATCTATACCTGAATAAATGAATTCTGGATGCAAGAACTGAAGTAAAGAAATTAAATGTCACTCTACAATAGCTTCTTCTTGCCTCATCCTCCTCTTTTTGCCCCACAATTCTTGGTTATCTCCAAGTTCACTCAACAATAAGTGGAGAATGTACTGTAACATTAAAAAGGACTCAAGGACTAATCATTAACAATATAACACATTCTTGTTCAAATATCAAAGACTAATCTGAATCTCAACTGTTGTTCCAGATACAAGAAAATATACTTCCCCCAAGATTGAACAATTTTGTCACATTGAATGGTAGATTATCCATACACCTCAATATTATTGTTCCACAAATGTGTGACTGCTAGGCATCACAAGATTTATTCCTGGGTAAAACCTGTAACTTTCACTTTGCCATTTAACTAGATCAGGAAGAAAGAAACAAAGGTAATGGAAATATAAGAATCACCCAACATTTTTTCTCCTGGGCACAATTACAATTTGATTTTTGATTCAAATAAATAGAGTTAATTCATCAGTTCTTTCGGGCCTTAATATGCTGGCCAAAAGATTTGCTAAGGAATACCTGAAATGCCTTGGCATAAACTACTGCCAGCTGACCCTGATCATACAGCATCTTTTCAAAATGAGGGACATGCCAACGTTGGTCAGTTGAGTAGCGATGAAACCCCTGCAGAAGAATTGTGGATGCAGGAAGTGGAAAAAAATATTTTCATTATTTTTGCCAGGTAAGAATTAGGATTCAGTCTTCTACATAGTGCAAAACAGTAAGATCAATAATTTTCAGAGCTCACTGATTAGGCCAATTACTTCACTGATTACCAAATGATCACAATAATTTGGTGGATAAGTGGCCTAATGGTAATACGAAGCTGTGAGTGCAAGTCAGTCTCATCACAATCTGCAATGATTTAACTTAGACACAAAACATAAATATGTACTAGCTAATACACTGGATGAGAATAGATAATAAAAGCATAGTAAACATTGGATTTGGCAAATCACTATATGACGACTGGCATATGCAGTAAAAATTGCAGGAAACGAACTTCTTCATTTTCTGCTTATCTTTCTAGAATCTGTCACTTCAACAAGACATACATTCTATTTCCAAATCAATCATCTAAAAGTCATTTCTCATAACAATTAAAAGCCTGGACTGGAGCGACTAAAAAAGGGGATGGGAGAACTGATTTTTTAAAAGGCTATCTTAGGTTATTTCCTGAATTATACTGCGAAACTATTTTTAAAGATCTCCATGGACAAAGTAAACATTGCCACAGAAATCAATAGAGAAGATTTTAATATAAATAGGGAGGAGCATATTAGTTTATTCACA